AACAACCAAAAAAAAACAAAAAACCCAAAAAAAGCATTAAATAAATCAATTTAGAGTTCTCACAAGCACAACAAGTGGCCAGGATAAAACTATCCTGCTTTGGAGATTTTATGCCAAGTTCAGTAATTTAGAAAAGGTCTAATGCTGGAAAGAAGCATGAAAAAGAAGAAGAAGGAAACCAGCATTACGGTAGGTGGACTGAGAATGGCAATGGATGTGCTATTATAAAACCTGAAAGACGGTTAGATATAGATTGTCATGGAGGAAATCTGTCAATGTGGTCACTAAGAATTAACCCAGATCTGAAGACACATAATCCATCAATAGATTTATACAGAATTATGTGACCTTGGCAGTGTAGGAATGAATACTGACCCAGATGTTATGGATTAAATCAGTGGTTCTCAACCTGTGGGTCGGGACCCCATTTGGGGTCGAATGACCATTTCACAGGGGTCGCCAAACAACACAGTCCCCCATTTTTCCCCCTTTTCCTTAGCTGTGCTACTCCCTTTTATTCTATTGGCTTTTGAAAGCCAATAGAATAGACTCTCTTGAATAGAGTCTAATTCTATTGGCTTTCAAAAGCCAATAGGAATTGTCCAGGCTGTCTCTGCCCTGCTGAGCCCACCAAAAGTTCCATTCTGCAAACGGTGCTGCAAGTTGTCTGCAGCGAAGGCGAGCTGTCTGGAAGTTTCCACCTCCCTGCTGAGCAACTACTAAAAATGTAAGTAAAAGAGGGCCAGGGGTGGGAGGTGGGAGGCCGGCAGACACAGGGAGGGTTGCTGGCGCGCATGGGGCCCGGCGGGTGCTTTACCTCCCTTGGGCTGGGCCAGCTGGTGGCCCAGCCGGTGGTTGGCCTGCGCCATCTCTGCCGCTTGCCAGCTATGCCTCGGCCAGTGCAGGGGGCGGCACCACGCATGCTCGGGCAGGGAAAGTCCTTGACTTATGACTGGTTGGGTAATCCTCAACTTACGACCGGTTGGAGTCGCGGCATTAAAAAGGTTGAGAACCACTGGATTAAATAGACATGTCTGAAATGCCTCTTTTTAATACCATTTGTTGAAATGAATTATTTGATCTGCCTTTTCAAATGTCTATTTGGAAAGACATTTTTAACAAAAATTAACAGTAATTATAACATATCCCTTCTAACAGGTTCTAAAGAGTCATTCTGTTTACTACTTTCTTGTAAATGTGCTTGAGATAAATAATATGCAGGATACAAATGTATTCAAATAGTCAATTTGTTATTATATATATTTATTTATTTTTAGATTGTAAAATTTTAGACATATTTTTTAAATATTTTTTCATGAACTACATTGTTTGTTAAGCAATATTAAATGAATATTCTAGGTAAGGACCTATTTTACTGTTTTGTAAAATTATTTTGAATCTATTCCAATTTCCATTAAAATCAAAAGAAAAAATTCCAAGTAACATTGCCAAAATGAGTCTTCATTCAAAATCCTCTGGGGATTTGTTTCAGCAGGCCCCAAAGCAGACATTTGAAAATATTTAAGATCATTTGCTTTCTATTTGAAAGTAGTACAATAGTACTAGGAAGGAATTGGTATGTTATTTTCCACATCCTTCCAAATTCAGGTATCTGTAAAAATGATATTGGAGACTAGTTATTGATGGAATTTTGATACTTGCTTTACTGCACTAATCAAAAATATATAGTCTTCATTTTAAAATGAAATTAATTTCAGAAATAGATGTCACTTTTTAGAACCCTAGCAGAATTATTTTCTATCACAATAATCCAAAGAATGTATTTATTTTCTCCCAATCACCATATTCAGTGTTCAAGGATAACTCTGAAATAGGAACAATTCGTTGGACATTTCAAGCTGCCATCACCACCACTACCACTATCACCACCACCAACACACACACACACACACACACACACACACACACACATACACACACACGGTAATGGTATGTGGCAATGTGAAAGACCTTGGAATCAGGGCGAAGGGATGCTGCCTAGGGTACAGTCAGATAAGAGTGCAATTGGCTTGGGAGTGGAGCAAGAGGTTCAGAAAAGACCCTCCCTAGTTTCTTGGTCTGTAGAAGATAGGTAAATTGTATTTTTAGACTTGCAAGATTCTGCTAATGTAACTTTACAAGTAGAATTAGTATATTTGGTAATTCCTGAAAAGGTCTATCTTTCATTATAGACATTTTTAGAGTTATGTCAGCCACTAGCATGACGTGGTTACAAGAAGTAACCAAGAAACCATCACCCACATTTTAGACTGCTTCCAGTCATTCATTCTCTAATTCCTTATAGCCAGTAATGAATGGAAACAAGCTTTCCTGCCTAAAGTCTGAAAACATTCACATATTTCCCACATGCTTCTCAGTGCAAGTAAGTAACACCCCAAGCAATGCAATTTGGTAACAGCATTTGAATATCTATCATAGATGATCAGAAAAGGGTCCTGTGTCTGCTACTCTGTTTTCCTTGTTACAGGGGATTGTTTCTTTAGCATTGCTTTCCTTTCTCGTTAACAAGGCCTTTCCTCCTCCTCCTCTTCCTCCTCCTCCTCCTCCTCCTCCTTCTTCTTCTTCCTATCATCATCGTCATCATCATCATCACTGGAGATCTTCTAGTCCAAACCCTGCTGGTTGTCCAGTTGCTTCTTAAATGTCTCCAGTGTTGGAGCACCCACACTTCTGAAGCAAGTTGCTCCATTGGTTGATTGTCACAAAATGTCTCCTTAGTTCAGGATTGCTCCTCTCTTTGTTCAGTTTCCATTGCTTCTTGCCTTGCCATCTGATGCTTGGAAAATAGGTTGAACCCCTTCTTTGTGGCAACCCCTCAAATATTGGAGCACTGCTTCTTCTTTGCAAAGGAAGTAAACATTTTTCTTCTCGTGAATCATTCTGAATCAGAAACTGTTATGAGGGCAGATGATTCTATCAGCCTTTCTCTGGCATCTTTTTTCTGTTCTCTGTTATTGTGTTGAGGAAAGACAAGGCAATTCTAGATATTGTATGAGGGGGCCTTAGGGATTTGGTCCTTGAAAAGGACTTGTGTTAATCAAGTTTTAAAGCATAGGTGATTTTACTTTTCCACTTTTTCTCACCTTTTTTATAACCAGAAACTAGAATGTGTGTGTGTGTGTGTGTGTGTGTGTGTGTGTGTGTGTGTGTGTATGTATATAAGACTTGTGTTAATCAAGTCTTAAAGCATAGGTGATTTTACTTTTTCACTTTTTCTCATCTTTTTTATAGCCAGACAAGGGACAAAATTGTTTATGTTATGAAACTCCTATAAGATCTCATAGGAAAGAAGCCCTACTAGAATTCTACTCCAGAAAATTTTCATCCATGGATTTTGAGAAATCTGGGTTTTGTTTTGTTTTTGGTTTATAGTGATGATAAACAGTTATTTTCATTATTTAGTGAGTTCCTGCTCCACTAACTTATGCATGCTCTTTGTTTCTGGTGCTGATAGATAGAAATGACTGTTTCATTTCATTTCTTCACAGATTCCATAGACAGTAATGTTCTGATACAGCCAAAATTCCCAGTTTGGGAAAAAAAATAGGAGTTAACCATTTTGTACCAGAATAAACTCAATATTTAATTTTGTACACAGAGGATTAGATAGTTTAATAAACATTGTGTTTGAAATAAAACCATAATCTTTCATACTGAACAGTTTAAATAGAACATATTCCTTTTAAATTAATTGAAATTTTATTTCAAATAATATCCAGAATACCAATTCTATTTGGCTTACTGCAGATGGAATAGGTGACTTAGATATCCAACCATCATCTCATGTCTGCACAGTGAGACTCTGTCTTGATTGTAATTTTCTAGACATGTAGCAGAAGAGAAAAACCTTGAAGCCAAAACATGAAATGAACTGCTTGGAAGTACTGCCAAATGGTACTGCTCTTGGGTGTTAGTTCTGATATTTTAATTGCAGTTATGACTGAACATCTGTGAATTTTGTACAGCATATCTTAGATAGTGAAATGCTTCCATATGAGCAACTAAAATAAAGTAAGAAAAAGAGCTTTCAATTTCTCTATTTGAAAATGGAATTAACATGCAACTGAGCCAGTCATAATCAAGCAAAACAATGTGTATCAAATCCTAAAGCAAACTGGTAGCAAATGGCACATATCTAACAAAAGGAGGCATTTGTGAAATACAAACATTTTAGCTCCTTAAATCACCAAATGCTAACATTGCAGCCAAAAGGTGAAATGGTATAATTCAATTGTTCTGTTTTAATGGAAAACACTCAAATTCTCACTTTGTTTACAAATGGTAGAAAATGTGTACCCCAATATAGTATTTTCCAATTTAACAAAAAAACATTTAACAAAAATTCTGGACAAAAGCACTTTATTAAAATAGATTTATACTCCAGTACATAATAATTTATTTTTAAAGAATTCCATTACAATGTGAAATTTGATATCACTAGATATGTTATATATAATTTTAAAAGTTAAAAAACATATTCCAATATTTTTGAAAATATGTATAAATAGCTTTAGAATTCCTTTTTCGATTAACTTCCATAGTAGTAGAAGTTATATCACTGCATTTCATCAACAAACCAAGAATCAGAGACACATCTACCAAGTAGTTTTCAACAATAAAAACAATAAAAAGGGTATGTATAATATTTTTAGGATTAACACCTTACCCCACAAATTTTCCAATGCCCTCGGCAAACATGCCCCCGCAAAAATATACAGAAATACACTTCCATTATTATCTTTTTTTTTAAAAAAAAGCTAAAAGTTTTCCTGACCTGATTTAAACAGATAGAACAAAATTTATTAAATATTATAGAATATTGTGTAAAGGTAGAGTTGTGTGAGGATATAAAGTACAAATCCTTTTAAAGAAAAAAATACTTTATATATTTTTAAAGATATATTTTCATTCAAAACTAAAAATTATTTGACAACCAATATTATCAATATTAAGAAGTCTATAGGTCAATCACATTGCAGATTACATATTAAGAAAAATATGCTATTAGTAATCACAAATATTCATATATTTTATACATGAAAAATCATACTTGTAATGTTCATTTTCCAATGATAAATTCTATTCTATTGTGATCAGAAGATATAAATTATGATTGTAATTTTTCCTATATAAATTACCATGCATAGTAAATTTTTAAACAAAATATCTTACCTATTTAAAGAATACATATGTTGCTTTAGTGAACCAACTCTGAACAGTGTTACATACCTTCTGAAACAACCCTTATAGTTGAAGCCGAGCATTCCATAAAAAGAATGAAAAATACCCATCAATGAATAGAGATAGTCACGTTTCCAATATGGTGAAATATTCAAGTCCTCACAGATCTTCTGATGAACAAGAGAGAGGGATATTATTCCAATTCTGTTCATTTTTCAGTACTTGATTTGTAAAAGGGTTATATCTATTACATGAAGGAAAAAACTAAGTCTTATACAAAATAATTATTCAAATATTGTTGAAACAAAGGGTACTATGCAAGTCATTAATAGGATGGATGTTATTTGTAAATATTTCAGAGTAGTAAAAAGTATAATTATATTTCATTCTTCCAAATTTTCAAAAAAACAATGCCAAAAAACAGGCACTTACAAAACAGTAGCCTCCAAATGCTGAGGTTTTTTTTTCCATACAGTATGATCACATGCCTATACTGAGATTTGGTAAGCAGAATAGTTTGGTGGTAATGTTATACCCTGCCTTTGCTTATCTAGGGCTACCTAGATTATGGTAGTTAGCACTCTTCAAACTTTATGAGTGCATTGAAACATCTGTAGATATTTCAGGGCAGCTGTATGAAAAAGACATATCAAAATTATTAATTTATCTGTAGACAAAATGCTGAACATGATGAATGGTACACCTTCTAGAAAACATTGTTTATAATATAATAAGAAAAATAATTAAACAGGAATACAAATATCTGAAAGATCCCGATTGTGCTTATTTGGGAACAAAGTTTACAATATGAATTCTCTTTTTTTCACCTTAAAATGATATTACCTGAACATCAATTAATGAATTAAAACTTCAGTGAGTTAAATGGAACTTTTAAATAACATTTTTAAAAAATACATTGCATTAAACAATCAGTTATGCTCTTCAAATTATAATTTTCATTTTTTACTCTAAGATGCAGTTACATAAATTCCTGAGATACATGGATTAACAAAATGAAACTGCAATCCTATATGTGCATACTCAGAAAAAGTTCTGTTGAGTCCAATGAAGATTATTTCAGTATAAGAAAATACAGAGATATGTAGCATATTTACTATTAAATAGCTAATTTATTAATTACCAGAAGAAAAAAATGACCTGCGGTGTTTATAAATGTAAATGCAGGACATATTTCTCATAAGGTGACTTTATTGTACCAAATGAACAATAAAACAAATGCATTCACAGCAAGAACACATTTTACAAAGTAAAAGAATTCAAATTCATATTATAAATTTCTTCTTGGTATTAAGAGATGTTTTTCTTCTGGGTAGTTTGCAATACACATATATAAGGGTATTGCTTTTGCTGATTCTGGATGGGCTTTTTCTCTTTTAATTTCTACTGTTTATAATGCATTACAGTCATTCCATTTTTAAGAATAACTTTTGAATATTATAAGCAGCTAGAGCTGGAAGTGCAGATGGAACTAGCGAACATTAGAAGACTCATTTCTCTATACTTACCCAAATCAAATTCTATGGATGAGATTATAGAGCCATCAAAAGTGTTGGTCCTAACAAAGCAAACAGTAAAATAAGTTTGCACATGCATCTTATTATATTTCATAAATTTTTATTTATAATGCTTATTTTTTTAACAATGTATGTTCTAAAAGTCTTTATAAATCATACCCTTTAATAAATCTGTCAGGATAATAATAATCAGAACAGATCTAGAAGAAACGTTGGAGGTCCAGCCCCCTGCTCAAGCAGGAGTCCCTATATCATTTCAGACAAGTGATTGTCCAATCTCTTCTTAAAAACCTTGATGAAGTACCCACAACATTGGATTCAAAGAACTTTGAATAAAGTCACTATACAAAATTAAGTGGATAATTTATACAATTAACAAACTGTATGAATAGTATGTTCAAAGAGAAAGTAAATTATGATTTTATCTGTTATTTTTGTAGAATCCTTTTCAATTGTAGATGAAGTTTTTTTTTTTTAAAGGAACCCATCAAGTGAATCTCTTTAAAAGTCCACTGATTATTAGCAAAGCTAGTGTGCAACTCTTGACAGGAATGTGTGATTATCTGGAATTTGGCAATGTCTGAATATCTTAATTTATGTATTAAAAATAATATAGAATGGAAGAGATTTAATACAAAGGTACAATAAAAAATAGTGCAATTTTGATTGACGTTCCATTTGAACAATGAATAAAATGTCATTTATTCTAAACATATTGACATTTAAGAAGCTAAAATAATGAAGGATGATATATATAATCATTCAATGTGTTATCATTTTGTACATTGTATTATGTATTTTATTTGATTTTATCTATTTTATTGTAAGCTTTCAAATCCCCATATGTGAAATGGGCAGCTGTGTAAATCAAGTAAGCAAGCAAGAAAGTAAATAAGTAAGTAAATACAGTATTACTTCAGTCAATTTCTTTTAAAGGCATGTATTTGTGGATGAAATAAATTTTGATTATTCTCTGGTTTGGAAGACTTACGTGGAATTTCACGGACATCATACCAGTTTCTAGTAGCTCTTAATGAACATGGGAAAAAGAGTTTTGAAGATGACAAAATGTTGTGTCATTACAGGAAATAATTACAAAATTTATTTATTTATTTAAAATGTGTATATATGTGTGCATATGTGCATCTCTCTGTGTATATATATATATGTATATATGTTTCTATGTGTGTGTGTATTTCTCATAGCCTTTAATGGATATCTGCTGGTTAACATTGAAAGATGAGATTTTATTATTTGCCAATAAATAAAAGTTGATATATGGGATGAACAGAATTGTGGTTGAAATATTAGAGAATGTGTTAAGCTATTGAAAAGGTTTATATTCATCTTGATGAAGGAGGTAATTATTTATTTCTATATTTTCTGTTTATTTTTCCCTTTTATATATTCCCCCTTTTCCCACCCAGTTCCCCTTTTTCCCGTTTTGCATTTTCTATTTTTTTCTTGTTCATATTATTTTGATTTAGTATTTTATCTTTGCAATTTTAAACCAATAAAGATCACTGTATAAAATATAACACACACACATATATACATTACAACATATAACATTCCATGTTTGAAAAATACAATACTGTATGAAAAATTATTTGTTAAATAGTTTGCAGATTTATAAATAGATACTTGGACTAACTCACTTGTTTTGTCTATTATTTCATAAATATCATCAAAAATGTATAAATAAATAAATATTTGTTCCAAAAACATACAGTATGTGGTATTTTGCTGTAATTGACATTTAACAATATTCTAAAATGTGAATACATCAATACTTTATAAATCTAGTAATTCAACTATATAATTGGACAAACAGCCTAAAAGACAATATGATCTATTTTTATTACACATTTTACATATATAAGAAAATTATTTTATATATTATTTTCTTTAACAAAAATATATTGGGAATAACCTTTTGCAGTTGTACAACTTTATGCATTCACAGTACTAAATAATCCCATCTAATTAAAATAAATAAGGGATTCCTTAAAATCCAGGGCACTCCTTGTGACTGATACATCTATGAAAGACCAAAACAAGATGCATGCAACACATTTAAATAGTGTTTTTTTCATTATTTTCTTTTCCTTTTATGTATCCCTCACTATCCATTATGCATGCACAAGTATTAAAAGGTTAGTTCATTCCTATTTTTTCTCTTTTTCTTATGCATAATTCCTTTTAACTATAATAGCATCCTTTCCATCTGTAGTACTAAAGTGCCAGATTTCATTTGTCTTTGAACTGGAACATTAACTATTTTAAGTAGCCTCTTCACTTAGTGGCTTGAAGCATTTTATGGCTCAAACCGAGTGGTCAACTTTGTTGCCTTTTCTAACCCCCCCCCTTTCAAAGCTCCTTGTCCCACATCAACAATGAGTGATTGACTGCAACAGATTGGGAAGATATTTCAAGGAACATTAACCATGGAAAATAAGGGAAGAGAATTTAGCCCAAATCATGGGCTTATTCCACCTATCAGAGATTAAAGGCAACACTGTTTATAGTTCACCTGAAACACCAGGGTGATATTTGCCTTTGAGATTCCCAGTTATTTCTCCAAACCATCTTAATGAAAATTAAAGTAATTATATTAAACTTTTCTATTTTACCAAATGGCAACAGGGAGGGTCTCAAATTGCCAGTGTACCTTTACTTATATCCGTTCAAAAGTAAGTCTCATTTTTGATGGAAGTTTAATTGTTTGTGCATTTGCAGCCAAATAACAGCTTTACTAACATACCACAACTGTACAATAGAGGCATCTTTAAAGTGGCTACATATTAATAAATATTGAGGAAGGAAGGAAGGAAGGAAGGAAGGAAGGAAGGAAGGAAGGAAGGAAGGAAGGAAGGAAGGAAGGAAGGAAGGAAGGTATTCCTCAGAAAGATCAGCAATAGAGGAGGCTGCATTTCATTTCAACCACATATATTGGAACTTCCAACTGAAAGTATAAGGCATAGAAAATTCAAGCAGAGTTGTTATATTCCTTTGGAAAAAGAAGGGGACTGCAACTCTGGATTTCTCAGTCGCTATAGCCATCACTATTTTTTTTCCAGAAAGAAATACTAGAAAGCATCATCACAAACAATAATTTCAGACGATTATAAACATCATAAGAAATAGGGTCAAAAAGTGGAGAAAAGTTTTACCAGCCCCAGAAGATCGCCGTGGAGCCGGGTGACCTGAAGAGCATCTGTTGAACTTTTCTATTTTTTTATTTTTTTTTGAAAGAAAGTCTGCAAAACTAATTTCCCACAAAATCAGATTCAATTTCCGTTTAAGCCACTGCCTCTTGCAATTCTCATAACGGCCCCCGCCGGCCCCGCCAATGGTTAGATGAAAATGACTAGGGTGCGTGTTTTCATGCAAAGCACTGGAAATCTCATGGATTGGGACTAAATAGCTGGAACAACAAAGAATCAAATCAAGAGTTTTGGAGGTGCGCGAAGGGAGGAAAAATAACCCTGATGTCTTTAAAGATCCTTTCTTTTACTAACAGTTACTTTGTTGAACTAGTGTGACCTAATACTGCTCGTTCTACCGCCCTTGCCTCTCGCGAAGCGCCCTCGAATTTTTTCCAGACACCTGAGACAATGCAGACGAGGCCACCAAGGGAGACAAAATAAACTTTTCGCTAAATGGGAAGGTGTCGCATAAAGCGAAGGCGGAAACATTATTTTGAAAGGACGGCAATAAAGGCTCTTAGCGTGTCTTGCGCTTGGGTTTTTTTTCTTTTTCCTTTTCAGGGGACAAGCGAAGTTTTTCAGTCAGGCACGTGTTCTTGCGACGAGTGTTTTGTGGATAAATGAACGAGAGAGAGAGAGAGAGAGAGAGAGAAAGAGAGAGAGAGAGAGAGAGAGAGAGAGAGAGAGAGAGAGAGAGAGAGAGAGAGAGAGAGAGAGACTAGACAATTGGTTTTGATTTCGAGTCTCTTGAGCTGGGTCGCTGTAAAATTCAACCTTGATGCCGCCATGGAAGTCTTCCAGGGCAATTGCAGGAGCGGCAGCATCGGTTCCACCCGATTTGTCAAGAGCTGTTTGTTATATGGGCATTTTCAGGGGATTTGCAGTAATCCCGGCGGGCCTGAGATTTCTATTTTTGTTAGGCGTGACAAAACGGGAGGAGTCCAATCCTCCTGCCTCTGAGACGCTCCCGGATCTGCTGAAAATGAACCAAACTGAACTGGCGGGAAACGGTTCTCGCGCCGCTGATGCATTTCAGCTCCAGCGCTTCCCATTAGCGCCCCGCATATCCGAAGGTCTGGGTCTTTGCCTCGAAGGTATACCTTTCTGGACCCAGCCTCTCTCTTGCCCCCCGTTTTGCATTTGCATTTCATTTGCTTAATTTTTCCCTATCCATGTGAGCTTTTTCTAGTGAGGACGGCTTGTCCTTCGAAATGAGGTCCAGCATGACAAAGGTTTAAAGCTAAACTTCCTTTCTCCTTAACGATACGTTGCCCAAATTTGTAGAAAAAAGCAGTGCCAAATGTAGAACATGATTCCCCAAATCGCCGGTCTAAACAGAACTCCACAAATTGTGCTCAATAAGAATCATATGTTTTGAAAAGTGTCTGTGTGCTTTTAGGAGATTATCAGATATTTCCAGAGACAATATGTGTGGATCCAGACCTTAACAATTGTTTAGTTTTTACCAGAATTTCTCAATCTTGGCAATTTGAAAAGGTGTGAACATCAACTCTTAGAATTCCCCAACTACTTGCTGGTAGTTGAACTTCACACCTATTTTACCAGTAGTTGCCAAAGTTGAGAAGCACTGGCCTACAAGAATCTATTAACAGAACTTGGCAAGTCTAGAAATGATTTCATAGGAAGATAATTTATCTATATCATAATTTTTGTGCCATTCTGTACCTGGTACAAAACCAGATGCCCCAAATTTATCCACAGAATCCATAAAATAATCTGCATGGAGACTATAATAAAAATTGAATTGCCTGTAAACCATTCCACTCATTATCCACCAGTTGTCTATGTCTTCACCATACAGACTTCATGTCTCTATTAGATTAATAGACCAGAGCTTGTCAAATTCAGATGCTTGCTGCATAACTTCTCTCACTCAGCCCAAATATCTTATAGAGTTGTTTTTTTTAAAGGGAGAAAGGAATGGAGCCAGGAATATTGAGGAAAAAGAGGATATAAACCAATCAATCAAATAATGAGGTTTTATCCAACCCAATTAAAGCATTTGTACACTTTAATCAGGTTGGATAAGCCCTATTGGGAAAATGTTCTGTATTATTTTTCTTTACCACAAAAAATTAGCCAAATCATATATATTCTAGTGTAAAGTGACACTTCATAAGAATGAATTATAAATTATAAAATTATTGGTTCATTCATTGCATTTGTATCCAAAGAATTAAATTCAGTAGAAACATGTTACCTTTTTCCTAATCTAATCATTTATAGGAAGTGGCAATTTTTATAATGAATTCCTTTGAAATCTATATATTATGACTTTTTGAAGGAAAGTGAGTGTTCCTATCTGACATTAAAACAAATTTAAAATAATTCCATATTTGTGGCACATTCTGAGAATTACTATTTGGACAGAATAATGAGAACACCTGAAGATTGGCTTGGCAATCAATATTAATATAAACCCAGGTATTATTATTCCTATATTGTAAACTGTGACAAAAAATTCCTTAATTATTTTGTAATATCAAGCCTTTTCACACAGTTCTAGATAACAGCCCAATCCTATGCAGTTTTACTAAGCTTCATTGCCACATCTAATGATGCTTTCTCTACAATGCTTGCATAATTCCATGGAATGTGACCAAGAAAAGGCTCTATTGAGAAGATGACACAAGGAAATATTTATTTGCTAATGAAGACTTAATCATAATTGTCATAGGATATATTCTGTGAGAAACCTCTGCTTCTGTTCCAGGTGTACCATGAAATACAGCTGCTAAATCTAAACATCATAGGAAATACATTAGCTAATGTGACATATTAGAATTCCCAACAGTGGAAACTAGGAAATGAAGCTGTTATTCAGAACTTTAAACCAATCAATGGAATTTTAAAAGCGTCTTCATTTTTATCCCATAAAGTAGAATCTCAAAAGGTAAATTTCAGTATTGTTTTCAAAATCATCAAATTCAGAAAAAGTTTGTCACATACAATGTGCTGATCAAATGGCAAGCTTCTAACAAAGCCACACACCTGGGATCTGTTTAGCATAATAAACTATGCTTAAAACCATGGTTGGTCACATTAATACATTTCTGTGTTGCGTTTTAAATGTAGTCATTGATGATTGAAAGTTGCAGTTGTCCAAACTTTTCCTCTGTGAATAAACAGGTTGAAACAAATGGGTGCTGTTAATTTGACTTCAACATTGGCTTGAATATTGGTTGGAAATGAATTGTGATTTTACTTCATTCTCAGCATTATTACTTTCCTTGTGAGGAAATGTCCACAATCAATATGAATGTAATGACCTGACCTTGCAGGAATTGTGATGTATAGATAGGGAAATGTTTGTGAGCAACTGGATCATAAAAGCCTTGGCAAGGCAAAAAATGCACTGAATAGTGGGTATTTCTGATTTGGATATTCCCAAAGAATATAGATTTTGAATGTTCAGCAAATTCTGAGAGACAATAATACTTGTCCTGCTGATGCTATAGAGCTGGGACTGTTAGAATACTCCCACAATATATGATACTTTTTAAGTGACAGAAAGTGGAAAGTAGAAAGACATCAAGCCATATATAGGAGCAGCTAGCCCACATCAATTCACTCTCCAGAGCATCGAAAGCTCGGCAAAGAATAGCAGGCAGTTTGCAGGGTCACTTGGTCCATTCACTTACTCATTCTTCTTTTTTTCTGGATGACAAAATGAGAACCTGGATTACAAAGCCCCTCTTTCGTATCATTGCACTACTTAAAGAACAATTGCAGGTGGATGAATGAGAAATGACAAGAAAGTGATCTCTAGAAGATATAGTAAGAAGGCCTGGGTTACACCAAGAAATATGAGCAAAAACAGACACCATTCCTTGCTCACATCTGGAATAACCCAAATCCTCTCCTTCATTCTGACCAGAAAGAATACTTTACCCAGTATTTATCACAAAACCTCTTAAAGAAATTAATAGCTAAATGTTGCCCTTCCAGACCTTCCTGATTGCACTTTCTGGAACATCCTTATTTCCAGTATATCCACCACTAGCCCAAACGAGGCCACAAAGAACGACGAGGAAGCTCCAGATGTGACAGGTGTACTTCTCTTACCTGCACGCTCGTTCTGCGCCACATAAAGAGCAAGGTCTGAGCCTTCATGCCCCGCGCCTTATGAGGGGCGTGTTGGGCGGAGCTCGGCGCTGGAAGGGCCACGGGTGAGGGCAGGCTGGACCCCCTAAAGGTTTCTCGCCCAGAGCTTATTAAGGTCTTGGAACTGCCTGCTTCTTGGGACCTATCCGATGCCTGGCAAGCAAGAGCGAGGCTGAACTGGGGTCGGGGGTGAAGGCAGCTGCAGGTCGCTGTTGGGGTGGCTGTTGGGCTGGCGTTCGTATGTGGTCAGCGCCGCGCCGTTAAGCCAGCCCCCGGCTCACGTTACACACTCCTGTATTTATAACTTCGGCGAGGCGCTTCCCCCTCCGACCATTAGCGCGGACCACCTCTGTTCCGCCGCCTGCGAGCCCCGAACGGCCGCTTCTTGAAACATCCGAGCGAAGCCACGGCCGGGATTGGTAGCCAAGAGCTGGAGATCTGGATTACACCCGAGCGACGCGGCGCGCAGCCACCGGCCTTAGAGGTGGCTGGGAGGAGAGGGGAGGACAGAGTCGCTCCTTGTCCTCCGGCGGGCGTTCGCTGGCAGCGGGGTGGCCGCTCGGAGCCCTGCCGCATGCCATGGATCACACGCTTTTCGGCTGCCTGCGCAGTCCCCACCATCCCCCTGGCCAGGGCTTGCACCCATTCTCACAGTCTGCGCTTGCCCTGCACGGCCGCTCAGATCACATGTCCTTCCCGGAGCTCTCCGCGTCCTCCTCCTCTTGCATCATAGCGGGATACCCCAACGAGGAGGGCATGTTCAGCAGCCAGCACCATAGGGGCCACCACCACCACCACCATCACCACCACCATCACCAGCAACAGCAGCAGCAGCAGCAGTCTTTACAGGCAAACTGGCACATCCCGCAGATGGCTTCCCCGCCACCGCCTCCACCGCCTCAATCCGCCTCATCCAGACACAGTCTGTGCCTTCAGCCCGATTCGGCTGGACCCCCGGATCTAGCCAGTAGTCCCCCCGGACTGTGCTCGAATTCATCAAGTTTGGGGACCGGCACCCCGACAGGAGCAGCGTGCGCTCCGGGAGATTACGGAAGGCAAGCGCTGTCCCCGGTGGAGACGGAGAAAAGAATGGGCAAGCGGAAAAGCGACAGCTCAGGTAAAGCCACCTCCCTTGCGTGTCTTCTATCCGGGAAAGTAATTCTCTCTCTCTCTCTCTCTCTCTCTCTCTCTCTCTCTCTCTCTCTCTCTCTCTCTCTCTCTCTGTGTGTGTGTGTGTGTGTGTGTGTGTGTCTCGTGTGTTTTGTGTGTGTGTGTGTGTGTGTGTGTGTGTGTGTGAGAGAGAGAGAGAGAGAGAGAGAGAGAGAGAGAGAGAGAGAGAGAGAGAGAGAGAGAGAGACAGAGACAGAGACAGAGACAGAGAAATAAAATAAAATAAAACCCGGGATGGGCGATCGGGCAGCTCTGAAACAACTGAGATCGGGTATTGGATTTGTTCTGGAAGCGTTCCGTGCATGACCGCTTGATACCTCGCATGGTAGTGACAAGACCCCAGTTGTAGCATGCAAGGGCTTAGCCACTGGCCTACCACTAGACTAATTAAAACGCTATAGTTGCTGTTCGATGTCTCATGATAGAGATAGGTCACAAGTGTTAAGAACACAGATTAGGACACCTTGGTGTTAGGACCCTTGAAGGGTTGCAGAATCACAGTCTTTCTAAAGAATGCAGTTTGGGGACATCTAATATTTAAGTTTATCCCTCAGTCACCTATATCTTTTCTTTCTTGTCAAAATCCTACCTAAGAAAAAGGATAGGTCTATATTCATGCCAGTCAAGGAGTAAATTCCGTTTCTTTTTAGGACTGCCCACCTAAAGTATTTCTGGAACACTGGTAGTATTGAGATAAAATCTGCTGAGAAGTCTGTAGTTTTACTTCGGTTAGACAGATTGCGCAAATATGCAAACTATTCTACTTTTCAAATGAAACTGTAAAAATGGATTCCTATGTACATCAAAATAATCAAATGAAAGTGTATGTGTACAATTATGAATGTTTGTATGTTCCTGCTCTAAGTATAATTATTTCATATAACTTAATTTAGCATCTTGGCACACTAATTTCATTATATTTGTTTTCTCATGCTTAGTTGGATACTTTTGAATTATATTTATACTATTAAATGCATGTTTAAATTTGCTTTTGTGTGTGTGTGTGTATCTATGTGTATATGTATGTGTCCATGCACGCATGTGTGCACATATAGTACAATATATATATTTAGAAAGTAATTCCAAGTTTTGATCAAGTAAAAGTCATGATCTACTTTGAAATTTAAAAGTACAAAACTATCCATAGTTACATTTGAATTCTTAGGACTGTTATATAGAAATGTATTTCCTTGACAGTTTAATGCAAAATATTTTGAGTCCTACTTATTTTGAAATTTGTTGTACTCTGTCTTGTAGTTCAGGAAGAGAAACTGAAAAGCTGATTTGAATTGCATTTAAAAAACTATGTTACAAAGTATACTTTTCTATAAAAATGTTTAAATGGGTAAGAAATCTTCAGGCAGTCCTGGATGAAGGATGTTTCATTATAACACTGCTAAAGGTAAGAAATAGATTTGTATACATGCACAAACATCTTCACACACATGCAATAGGATGTATAAAGCTGATACAGAAATCTGAAGGATTTCTACCTATGAATAAAAATAAGAAGAAAGCCGAATCTTTTACCGAAAATTCTATTTCCTTAAAAAAAATGGCCTTTTGAATTGTCCATATTTGATCAATTTAGAATTGTTTCAACTATTTTCCATGTTAATTAGATCAAGAAAACTGAAATTATAACATTTTTAAATTTTTTTAGCATAATTGTTGTCTGGTAATTGACAAGTGGCAGGCTAAAGATTTGAAAGAGACATCAATTGGGATTTATTTGAATTATAATTATCTATGAATTAAATAAAAGTAATTATTATATTCCAGAGACATAACGGTTGGTTGACTTGTAAGGGTAATAATGTTATTTAATGCACTGTAAGAAAAGTGCTATGTAATAATTAAAAGGAAATCTTTATAAATAGTAAGCAGAAATATTAATCTCCTTTAACTTTTATTAAAGCTTAGATACATAGATAATTAAAAGTTAATTACAGTAGATTGCTGTGTGATATATTAAATTAAACATTAGAACACAATTCTATAAAACTTTGATTGGGAATTAGTCTTAATTATTGTTTTATGTTATGTTTTACAAATAAAAAATTCAGTATGAATAACTTTCCAATATAAGATTATAATATCAACCACTTTAGCATTAATAATATATATCTATCTTTAATCTTTCTTATACAGTATAAAATACACTCACTATACTTTTGAACAGTATTTTCAATATAAGTGTAACTATGGATTGCTAATATCAACTTTAAGATAATAAAATCCATATATTTTCATATGCCAAATGTTTCTGCATATATTATGATAAATGGATTATATTTATTTACATATCTGAATATTTTTATGGAGCTGTATGTTTACCTTATTTGTACCTGATCATTTCTTATGTTTACATACATACTGTACATGGTCCCATACCGAAATCTAGACAATTGTGCAGGGTGGCATTATGGTTTGTGGCTGGAGCAAGTAAGTAATGGCAGATAGCCTCAGAATATATAGTTAGCCCTTGACTTACAACAGTTTGTTTTAGTGACCGTTTGAAGTTACAGCAGCACTGAAAAAAATGAAAATGTGAAAAAAAACTTTCACACTTATGATTTTTGCAGCATCCCCATAGTGAATGTGATTTACATTCAGATGCTTGATAATTGGTTCGTGACGACTGCAGTATCCCAGAGTCATGCAATCCCCTTTTGCGACCTTCTGATAAGCAAAGTCAATGGGGAAGCCAGATTCACTTAACAACTGTGTTACTAACTTAACAACTGCAGTGATTCATTTAACAAATGTTGCAAGAAAAGTTATAAAATGGGGCAAAGCTCACTTAACAAATTTATTACTTAGCAACATAAATTTTGGGCTCAATTGTGGTAAGTTGAGGACTACCTGCACTAAGGGTGGAGACTAAATACCAGGAGATAGTACCAAAGAGAAACAGCCAATTCTCTTTTCTTTTATCTGCTCGAGATTTTGGTAACTCAAATCTGATAGTTGCAGTCTGAGGATACCTTGAACTATTTCTGCTGCTGTTTATTCTTGTGAGAAATTCTGTTCTGTGACTATACCTCTAGGCTGATGACTGATACTGAAAGTGAACATCCAAGCAGTGGTGGATTCAGCCGGTTCGCACCACTTCGGCAGAACCGGCAGCTAATTTTTTGTTGCCCAGGTCCAGAATGGACTTCTGGAAGCAGCATCCACACAGAGAACTGGTTGTTCACATATTTGAATCCCACCACTGCATCCAAGGTTGTTACTATAGAAGCCGAGGACTTCCAATTATACCTCTGCACAGAAAAGAAAGTCTCAGAAAGCTGAACAAATATAATTTTTATTCTGTCTTATACTGATGTTCCATTGACAGTAAGGATTTCCCTGCATATAAAAGAATATAACAGGAACCCAGTAAAGCAGAATATGGTATATTTCATAGTAGGAAATATAGTAATCAAAAGTAATAGACAATTGCTTGTATTTTGTTTCCAAAAATTTATTCTGACAAAATATACCCACCTCCTCTAATATAACGCAACATAAGCAAAATAAATAAAATAAAATTGTTCATATTAAATGACTCATATTGCCTACAATTTCACTTTTTTATTTCAGAAAATATTGTGTAATATTTATAATATTTATAATAAAATCTTAAAAATAAAATCACAAATAAATTTACATTTAGTGAAACTGATAACTCTGAAATGAGATATATGGTTAAAAAATAGGAAATTAGATGATGATAGATGTGTCTGTCTCTCTCTGTGTGTGTGTGTGTGTGTGTGTGTGTGTGTGTGTGTGTGTGTGAAAGAGAGTGATAGAGAGATGATAGATAATTTCTCCTCTTTATTCTTCCACCATCTGCGCTGTTATTGGAATTCCAAAATATTATGTAGCGTATGTCTATCTTCATTATTTTTTTGGCTGATAATATATTATCATCTTCCTTTCATGTGATGTTACAGTTTGTATTTAAAAGGCTACACAGGCTTAAAAAGCTCTGATCCAAATTAAATTAAAGGCTACAAGACCAATTAAGTTCAGGGGACAATTACATCAGTTTAACAAAATGATGACTGAAAGGTAAAAAGATTTTAGCATTTATTTTGGATTACACATTGAAATATTTAATGATCTCTCCATAGATCACAAAATTAAAAAGAACATATACATTTTTAGATATATGTTTTAATTTTTTCAAAAATTAAAAAAATGAAGCTTTTCTAAAATTCTGACTTCTAGTGTAATATATGTTGTTATCCAATATTTAAAGGTCAAGACAGAATGTACGTGTTTTAACCTTTTAGATAAAGGGCTTATAATTTTGTAATTGTGTGTGAGTACAATTGATGTACAGTTTTCTATACTGAAGTAGTCCTAATATAATAGTCCTATGTTACCCCAATGGATAGAGATTGTCCAGAAGTAATGTCTGATGGATTGTTTTATAAATATTTAGTGTAGTTTCCAAGAAATGTCTTTGAAAATAACATGTACATTCGAAGATATACATGTCGGAGAAAATGATTTGATAAATGGGTGTTAACAATATGAATTCATTGCTTTTAGTAACTTCTAATTACACTCCAAAACATTTCAGTAAGAAAAATGATCTGTATATCTTTTCAAAAGGAGCACTATAACTGATTCATCAAAGTTCTTAAACCTTTCAGCATGCTGCTAAGTGTAAACAAGCAAATAGAATTCTTTGTAATTTTCTTCTGGAGAGAGTTAATTTGTTAACAATACTGGGTTTCATTATCAACATGCTTGATGCCTATTGGGACTTGGGCTTCCTAGTTCTTAAAAAGCAACTCTCCATGCTGCATGGTGAATTGCTTTTGAACTTTTGTAGGACATGGGAAATGGTCCTCTATAAAAACAGGGAAAAATTTCCATAGGAAATCTTTTGGTCATTTAAGTTGGGCATTTGGTTCCTGGTTAATATTGGCAGTACAAGCCCTAATACTT